CTTAGTTTCTGGTTTCTACACTGAGCTGGGGTTAGTGTAGCTGAAGAAAAATGGAATTATCTTTTGCGTCTTCGGTACAATTATCTCTTTTTTCAAATTTTACGGGTATGAATTTTTAGTTATGTGATTTTGTTATTGCTAGAATCTAAGTTAGATGGTGCACTGTGGGTTAAACCAGCTGAATAAATAAATAACTCTCTGAATTTAATGGGTTGTTATATGTTAATGTCTCAATAATGCTATGTTGTTATTCATATTGTGATATCGTATCTGTTCCTGGCGAATCTAAAGTTCCTTTGGATATATTTGTTGTGTAATTAAATATTACATGTTAGTTGTTTTATAATGGTAATCTTCATAATCATACACGTTTATAACGTGAAATAGCTGTGTCATTTCTGGTCGTTATATTTATCTGTTCTTTCATGAGTATCCCTTGCTATTTGTTTAAAAAACTATAACTATAATGATGCACAATGACGTGTAGGACAACTGGAGTACCGATAGTTGAGGAAAAATTACATAAATAGATATTCGACACTAAAAACAATAGCGCTCACTCGATGACAGAAGCTCATGATAAGAATGTCAAACACCGAACAACAGATAACTGCACTACAATAACTATGAAAGAAGAAATGTTGTTGGATATTTGCTTTTTGTAAACTCTCTTTTCTATGGTAAACGACTGATGTTGTTGCACTGTGAGTACTTATGATATTTTCAGATTCAGCTTTAAGCTAACCCTCTCTATTTCACAGCATTGTCGCAACAGTTATGCCTAGCTGCCAGTTTGCTGATGCAGTTAGAACCATAGTACCTTCTGAATTGGTATATTCTATTCTGTTTTACTTGTAACCTATAAAGAATAGTGCTAAGATATGCTTCACAGTATGTGCTATATTTATATCAATATAATCAGGAAGAACAATCATCTTTTATGTCCTATTTCTTGTGAAAGCATTATCTGAAGCTTAATATTATGTGCTAGAATTAGTTAGATTTGGCTTGTCCATGTCAGTGCACATAAGTTCTTCACCCACTCAACAATATTATCTCACCGTCTTTATCATTTTCAGAAACCACTTATGCATTTAATTAAGAGTACAAAACTTTTAGTCATTTGGTCTATAATCAGTTCAGTTTCTTTTATTGATCAAGCAAAATAAGTTGGAGCATTCACCAATTACCACTATAACTTTTTTTCTCTTTTACACTACAGATAAATTGGTGTAATCATTTCAAAATATGGCATGGCATGGGACGACTTTTGCTCTCCCTTGTAAAATTTGGGATCTGATTCACCTGTTGTTCAAACTGTTGGTTACTGCATATTCATAGTAATTTTCTGCAGCGTATGGTCTTGCACATAGTGTTCACACGTAATATCCTCGACTTACGTACTCCGGCATGCTAAGAATCTTTTTGCAGACTCTCTAAATGTTAAGGTTGGAAACTACGTTTGTTGCCTAATCATATACTTTATGTTCATAATTTTGTGCATATTATGAACCTTGAAGACATAATCACGAAAAAAATGAAGATTGGATCCAACTATAAGCTATATTAGAAATGTTGGTATTGTTGTTTGCTAATCTTTGCTAAATCTCAACTTGGGTTTATGAACTCCTACTTATGTTGTTTTTAAAGTATAGTGTACAACTGGTTAGTCAATTACTTCTTAGTCATAATGGTTAACTACACATTGAAGTAACAAATTCATTCCTACACCAAATGTGCTTCATGATCTATAAGTGTTTTCACCAGAATTTGATTGCTAAAATTATGTCGATGGCTAATTTATTTCACTGTTGTTATAGTCTATTTTACACGACAGTTTATCATATTTGTTGACAGCAATTTTCACTGCTGCTATCTTGTACAGATCCATATCACCTGGTGCTGTTGGAAAACCATATGATTTTGGGATTATAGCTTCTGTGGTAATTCTGCTTCTGACATTAGTGCTTTACTTGATGTCATTTTGAAGCAAAATATCGTAGTTGCTATCCAATTAATCATAGCTTATCAGCTTTTTAATTTTCTGAACACAAAGAAGCTATGATACAAAGAAACTACGCTTTACCTGCATATACCACTGAGAAGCCTTAGCGCAATGGTAGGAGTTTCTATTATGTGATCAGGAAGTCACGAGTTCAAATTGTGGGAAGAATCTCTTGAAAAAATGCAAGGTAAAGCTGCATAATGAGAAATAACTACTAGGGCTTGACAGTTATGTAATGCAATATTGCAATATATGGAAAATAAACCAAAAAGGGGGTTTTGTGTAGGAATATGGAACCTCATTTCTCTGCAGTGCCTAATATAAGAGGTACTTCCTAATTCAATAGTGACTAAAGTCCTCATTTCTTAGCATCATCGTTGTGCAAATCTGCAGATCCTTTCTGCATTTTCTGAAATTGAACTTCATATTGGTCTATTAATCAAAATTTAGTTTTCTTAATGGATAATATAAGTAGTAAGGCTGGGTTGATGTTGATTTATATTGTACCTAAACCCGTCAAATGTTAAAGAGTAGCTGTTTTGACTTTAACTTCTGATAACATGGTGTTGTAGTTGTATCTAAACTAAGCTATTGTAACTTGTTTAACTTATTTAAAGTTTTGTTGTATGAACTAGGTATATATCATTGATGAGTCAAGGTTGATAAAATCCAAATTAGCAAATTGAAGAGCTCGAGTTTGTTTGGTAGAATGTGCTGGGATGTTAGGGTCATTGGTGTAAATCTCATTATCTTGAACAATGAACATATGTAAAGTTAGTTCTCTGAAGTTCGTAAAATCTGTTTCATTTTGCTTTAATTTAAAGTTTGCATTAATATCTTGCTAAATACATGAATGTCTCTTTGTCTGCTTGCCTGTGGTGTATTTCAGAAACAGTTTAAGTTAAGAAGATTTTGCCTTTCTTACATCTATAATGTTAAGCTGCTTTGGTTGTTCCAATACTTCTGTTTTCTTATACATAATTTTCCCTTTTTTCATCAATCTCCTTTGCGAATTAAAAATGTCAATGGTTGAAAGATAAAACAAGATGTACTCAATCTAATTGAAGAATCACATTTGGATCTTTTTTGTGTAAATTGATGAAGAGTTGAAGAAAATTCGGGAGGCTCGTGAATATTCTTACATGGTATGTCAAAGTTATTAAAATGAACTTTCTCATCTGTGATATATGGACTTGGTTCCTGAAAATTCCAAGTATTATGACATTCACAATGAATTTCCTTCAGGACTTTTGTGAGGTTTGCCCGAAAAAGATAATTAATTATGAGGAGAAGATTAAAAAGTCTTACGAAGAATAGTTGCACACAGGGGCGGATGCATGAGAGATGAAACGGTGTTACGCGACACCGCTTCGTTGAAATTTTTTACGAAATATATGTAGTAATACTGTACGGGTATAATAAGATAAAGAAAATGACACCACTTGATATATATTGTTAAAAATTATGGTGCTGTAGCATTGAATCTATTATAACTTAATACTCAATAAAACCAATGGACTAAGGCTATTTCTTGTTGATTAATATGATAATTAATATTATTTATTCGCCGCTCTTCTATAAATATCGACACCACTTGCGAAAAATCCTATGTATGCCCATGTTTGCACACTGATGAAGAGACCCGTTACTGTGTTGCTGGAAGTTGCAAGTGTAGGATCTATTGTTTAGGCTTTGCATCACTATATGCCAACTATAATATGGTTGCTGAAATATATACTTTGTGTTGTAGGTCTTTTTAATGTCAGAGCTCGCAATGAGGCTTGGATTCTTGGAAGAGGATATGAAGGTCCAAATCTCGCTACAAGGTTAGTTGTTTCATTTGGATAGTTACAGACGACGCGTGGCACAACAAATGCTTTTGAAGTCAACCTCACAATATTTTTCTTGCTACTTTTGTATAGATTAAATATGCGATAGCAACAAGGAATGCTAAACCGAAAATATGGATTCAATTAGCTGTGTGTTTTTACCTTGGTTGATATTTTTTATATAGTCATGGCTAAATCGTGTATAAGTGAGCCACAATAAGTACGGTAAATCAAAGTAGCATCTGTGTGGAATTTGACGCACAACTTATTTATTAATTTATCTTCTAGAGTCATATTCAGATTATTGCCATATCTTAAGAGATAGGGATCTATCTATTTCTCATCCTATTCTTTAAATTAGCAACATTGCTTTGGATAGCCATGTCGGCCATATATTCAATTTGCTTTGGAGACGGAAACAGTTTTATATAATCTTTGTTGTCAGTGTTCAATAAATATAAAGGTCTTATATATTAACTATATGGATTCTTATGACAGGTTCTGCGTGATTTAAATATTGAAGGTTCCTTCTGAGCATTTTGGATATGGAATCTATATCGCCCGAAAAGTTCTCTCCGACTTCTTCTTATAGATTCATACATTGGAGTTTGCCTTCAACATTGGATTCTACATATTTAATCGGCGAAATGAAGCATTGGCTAATAGTTTAATGGAGGTGGAGCCTACAAGGCAATCAAATTTAGAAATGGATTGACTGTAAGAGAAGAATAGAGGCTTTCTCTTAGAGACTTCTGGTTTACTAAATTACATGTCGTGCTCCCTACCTCATGGGTCATATTTCTAAGTACACGAAACAAATAGTCAATAAGTTTAATAGAGTTGTTTGAGCAAAAAGAACATTGTTTCAAGTGAGGCATAAGTCATCACTAGAATATTGAGAAAATGTCTTGAATATTGAGAAAATACTTAGTTGCAACAAATCAAACTCATATATATGAAGTCTAATACGACTCTATAAATACTTAGTTTCAAGGGATCTTAATACTTTATGCTAATTTCTTCATTTTATGTTCGGGCCTGGGCTCGGCATAGGCCATCCGACACTAGTGTTGTTATATAGAAGTGGGAGTTGGGGGTCTACGAACAGTCGAACAGGGGCACTTCTATAAATATGAATTAAGTAGGGGTAAATTGATAATTTTATCCATTCTTTTCCCTCAAAACACGTGTACTACAATTGTGTAAAATTGATTTACCATCTAAACCAAGACTGATACCCTGTTCTCCTTATCCTTGTTTAATTCTCCTCCATCAATGTTCTCTGTACTACTGATTCTTTGGTGAAGCTGCCATATTTTCTTATGGGTATTCAAGAAAATGTTGTGTCTTTAGCTCTTGAAACTTATTTTGCAAATGCATGTGAATAAGATGAGGCAAGAGATAATCTCTTTATCTTGCCCATCTTATGCATAGTGCGGCTCATATTAAGAGGTAATGGATAAAATTCTACTTTCTAAGAAAATTATTAAGATCCCTTATTTGGGTTATTTCGATTTTATGGTTTTCGTTAATTTGTATTTCAATGCTTATAGTAGTGTATGTAAAAAGAAGCAGATGGTATACTTAGGGATTTCAGACACATTCGTATTTCATTGATAAGGAAATGGTTCCTGGATGATAACCTTGTAAAAGTGCTTCTTTTAATTTTCTTTTGGCTGAAATTAGGTGTCAATTTAGTTTCTACTTTCGTCCTGTCCTATTCGTATCTTCTTCTTGCGTGCTTATGAATATATTATTTTCTCTATTTTGCTACCCCTTTCTATATATGTATGTTCTGATTTGACACTGATTTGCATAGATCTAATATTTCATGGATATTGTCTGTTTAGTTCATTCTCCTCTTTTCTCTACTGTTCTTCTAACTTTATATTTACTTTGTTCACATTTTTCTTATATTTTGGTATAAAGCTTTCTTTAAATTACTAGAGTGTTTTACATGGTTAATGTTTAAACATGATCTACATTGATACTCATGCCAAATAAGTCCTTAAGAAAATTTTAAAAGAAAAAAAGATGTACGATGAGATAAACATGTTAAAATATCCTCAAACTAAAAAGAGGTATATATTTGGGTTTGGTTATACCACATGCAGCATGCGCGAACTAATTCCCTCAACTTCCAAACTACGGGCCCTTCATTTTTACAACAATATGAGAGGGGATAAAGGTGTTGTAACACCCCGTAAATTCGGCTTAGGTATGAATGAGTTAAAGGAGTAGTAAGGTTATATTTTGAACATGTGAAGTCCCATCGGGATGATTATGGGTGAAAATAGTTGTTTCAAAATCAAGATGGAAAGTGAGGTGCATAAGATTTGACAAAATCGACTAAGTTTGCAGAAGGTCTGTCTTCCAGCAGGGTTCAGTGAAAATGTGTAAGGAATTTGGGAAAATTTGAAGCATGAAAGTTGTAGGCCTTTGAAATAGCTTTCCAACGATATTGTGGAGCCCAAACGGAGCTCTGTGCAAAAAGTTATGCCCGTTTTACAGAATGGTGTGTAACCACCGCGTTCGGCCGCGTTTGACCGCGACCGCGAACGTGAGGTAGTGCTCCAGCGATTTACCGTGGTCGGGACCGCGGTCAGGCCTATTGGGACGCGGTGGCCAACTTGGAAAGTCATTTTTTAGCTCTATTTTGTCCCCCACAGCCCCAAAACATAAAAACTTGCTCTAGAAAGGAAAGCTCTCAAAAACCTAACTCCTTAAGGGTCCCTCCACCACCCAAGGTAAGTTCTAATGGTGATTCTAAGTTAATTTCAATTTCCCAACATCTTATTAACATGGGTAAACCCTCCATATCATTAGATATTCGATTGGGACATCGTTGTTGAGAGAAGGAAGCCTAGAACTCGAATTCAAAGAGTTTGAACTTCAAAAAGGTAATGTCTTCACCTTCTAATTGATTCTAGCATTGGTTTAACGATTATAAATCCTAGTTCATGAGTTATGAGTTGATAGGTTTGATAGCAAAGCATGAACGATTATAGGGTTGGGGGTTGATTATTGGTTAAGGGTGTTGTTTACCTTATGGGTGATGAAGAATAATGTTGATTATAATCATTTGAGACTTTAGAATTTATCTAGGAACGAGAGAATGGGTTGTTGGGTGTAGAGACACTATTAATAAGGACTATGAAGCTTTATTTCACCAAGTGTTTGATAAAATACTTAAGTGACCAAAACATGAGCATCATAGCTAATATGGAATCCCTTTGACTTGTATTGCTATAGATTAAAGTTGAAAGGGTTGACAAACATTGTATTACGCTCAGGGGCAGGAAGTTAAGGTATGTAAGGCTAACTCTTTACGTTTGGGAATGTCTATGATTCTCCCTACGTCCCATTCATTATGACCATTAACAATTTCCTCAGAAAGTAACTATGCCTTAGTTCCCTGAATAGTAGTAGAACTTCTATTCTCTAGATGGCATAGTTTCATAATCATTCGATATTTTATGAGTTTCAGTTATGACAAATCAACTTATTATGAATACTCATCTCAGTCTAATCCTATTCACTATTCCAATATCATGCAACTCGGTATGGCTCATTATTTCAGTATCATGTATTGCAGTATGATTCTCAGTTCCTGATTCTAAATTCCTGAATGTTGAATACCTGTTTTTGGGCCTGAGGCCGCAGTTTATACTTTATGCATTTTGGACCTGAGGTCGCAGTTATGTATACGTATACTTGGGCCCGAGGCCGCAGTTTGTGCGCGCGCGCGCGCGCGCACACACACACACACATATATACTTGCAGTCGGCTACTTGTTTATACTTGCAGACCTTTCAGTATTTTTCGCATCTGCGATATTTCAGTCACTCTTTAGTAGATTATCATGTTTTATATTTACCTCTAGCTCATAGTTATACCACATGTTGATCCAGCCATACAGTTGGTTGCTCGGTCACATGCAGTCAGGCACCGAGTGCCGTGTTACGCCCAGACCATGGTTCGGGGCATGACAGGTGCTGTTGCCATCTCTCAACTTGTGAAGCACTCTCCATTCTCCAATGTTGGAGGATTTGAGGTGTTTATCTACAATGATTGGAATGTGTATACTCTTTTTTCACAAAGAGTTAGAGTATGCACCAGCTTAACCTTGATTGGTGTGATAAGATGTTCACTCATGAAGTTGGAATTGTGTTAAGAAAAGTCATATCAAGTTTGGAGTAGATACTCTTTGCAATAAGGCGAGATGAACCTTTTTGAAATAATAATTGGTACTTAAAATTGTATAGGGTAAGCCAATTTATTTTGTTATTGTGTTGCCATTACTAAGTCTCGTGGTGAGTTTATGTGAGGTCCCCACAAAATTCTGTTGTTAGATTGTGAATGTCCTAAGTTTAGGTGCGTGTCATTACATATACCCTTCATTCTCACTTGCTCCTGCAGCAATAGGAGAAGATGAGAGAGAAATGAAGAAAAAGAAAAATTGGGGTGGTTATACCAAATGCTAGATGGTAGTGAAGGTAATGGACCAACTCTGAATTTTGTAGTTTTTATCCTATTTCTTGATGGATATGTAAACATGCGATTCTATCTTCTTCTTTTTTAATAATATTGATCTACAATCTTCATTCTGCTCCTGAAATTCTCCTTGCGTTTTTACTTTAGTTTTGTTTTAAGTAAATCATGTATACTATATGTTACTATTTGATTCTTACAATATGATCTTTACTCTTTTTTAACGTTCCCTTGGTGGATTTTGTACATGCATGTAGTTGATTGTTCAAATTCTTCTGTAGAAGTATACTGAAATTACCATGACGAAAAAATAGTAATAAAAAGGGAAGAATTTGGATGCAGCGAAGAAGTTTGACGATATGCCTCAAGTACTGAATAACTTTTTTTATCTCCTATTTTTGTAGGTGCTCTATAACACAGAGATCTATCATCCAGCAATACTAAAGGTATATTACTTACTCCTATTGGAAAGAAATACTGAATAATGTAATATGTATTATATTTGTTTGAAATGCTTTTAGTTTGCTTATATGTTTATTGCATTATTGCTACTGTTTATCTAAATAAATCGGGAAAGTCAGATACAATCCAATCTGGCGTGGAGTTCTTTTTCTGTGGCTTCCATTTTGCTACTCAGTATGTATTCATGATTGAATTAGCTCAACAACAAAAATATTTTATTCGTGTTTAACCTCCTCTTAAAGGGTTGCATAATAGCCACAGTGCCTTTTCTGATACAACAATTAATTTAATCGCGTAATTTTCTTGATTGTGTAATGTGAATATGTGATTAGCTGAGAGAAATGTGTCGTGGCTTCAAGAGTTAACAGTCCAAGAATGCCCTAACATTAGTCAAGGAAATTTCAGTTGAGGGTAATGCACACTCTGGTTCCCATTTCTTTTAAACATTTTTTTGTTTGCTTGGATACTGATCTCCATTAGATCCTGAGTTGTTACCTTATGACGTAAGTGTTACTCCTGACCTGTTACGGAAGTGGGAACTTGACAATTAGGTGGAATTTGTTTTCTATCTTGGAATTACCAAATCTTTCTTTCTAATCAAAGTAGCTCTTCTCTATGTTCTATATTTAAGCTTCCACTACACATATGTTTATTATTAATGTAATGGTTAATGATACATGACTTTACACTACGTTCTTTCTCTGATGATTTTTGGTGAGATGAGTTTACCACTTCGACACTTCAATGAGTCCTCTGGAAAGACATTCCAGTTCTAGATCAGCGTCAGTGCGTCACTTTTCTTTCTTTATCTTATTTCCTCTCCTCTTTCTTATTCTGTCTGGATTATCAAATTAAAATTGAGTATTCAATAAAGGATTGATGAATTCTCAATTGATTAAAATAAAACTAAAAATGATGTGAAGGAAGGATAAACAGAATATGGATGGGGTATACATTATAGATTCTAGATAGCCTTAGTTCGATGAGTAGCATTGAGAATTAACACCCTTCAACTAGGGGTGTCCATGGTTCGGTTTGGGTCGACTTTTCTCTAAAAAGAAACCAAACCAAGTGTTTAACCAAAAAGTGGAATTTCAGTCAAAGTTTATTTTAGAAGAATTCGGGTTACTGATAATCAAATAGAAATAAGGATAATGGATGTAAATAAAGGATGAATAGAAAGCGAAGTAAATCAGTATATTCAATAGTCTTTTTGTGTCCTTACAAATGATCACTCTTCTCCTTTTTATAGTTATTTCTAAGATATACGTTTTGCCTTTGTCATAATAAGGCCATTATAGACAATTAAAGGCATTTAATGCTACGTTATAAATGATAATCATTGTAATTCAATACAGATTCTATAATGTTTCCAGTAATTAATGCCTATTAAATATTGTATCCGTACTCTCTTTTGCTATCAGGTTCATTCTCTTTAACTTTTGAACTTAAATAGGTACGAGTGCCGAGTCTTTTGAATCTCTGCTCGTGTCTCTGCTCGCGTCTCTACTCATGTCTCTGCTCGTGTCTGTTGCAACTCGTGCCTCTTTGTTGATCATCATTCTTTGACCAATCTACGTGTCATGACATGTCATCTTTCAATCACTTCAATATATATAAACTCAATTTTTCCCAATACAAATAGTTCCCCCACTTGCCATTTATTCATCAATTGAATATTTGGGAAGTGGATTTTATTAAAGCGGGAATATTTGCCGCCATTAATTCTCTTCTGGAATCGACGCTTCATTTGTCACTTCTATTTAATGCCTATTACACGTGGCATCTTCTGATTGGTTCTGCGACTTTGCAGCGTCTTTTAAGGCTTTTTTACGGCTTCACCAATTACGAAATGACAGTTCTCATTATGACTTTTCCATCATTGCACATTTTCCTCTGACGGTTGCTTCTAAATATAAATATAATTTTCACCTTTGTCTTTCTCACATAAAGTTCTCAGAATATTCATTCTTGTTTGCTTCTTCCTCGTACTATTATGTCTTCATCAAACCTTAACCCTAGGAGAGTCCCCATTGTCGATAACCTTCCTCTTGCCCCTAGTAGGAGCAGAAGAGGAGGTAGACTTCGTAATTTAGGGTCTTTTTCCACACGTGCTTCTTCTCTTCCTTCATCTAGTTCCAGTCCATCTTCTAGAACCAGAGGCTCCCTTTCTCAAAGGTCTTCGTCTAGAAGTAAAGAACCCACTGAGCCCCTTCGTGAACCCACTGTAGATGAGATTGTTCCCGTTGAACTATCTTTTTATAATGATAGAGAATCTCTCAGAAACCAACTGTCTTCATTAGATCGTGCTGACATCTACCCAACTCAGATTACTGAAGGTCTGATTTCTTTAGTTCGTAAAGATTGCCATTGGAGCCATGACTTCCCTATTATAGTTCCAAATGCGAACCAAAGAATTACCTCTTATTTAATTGGGTTTTCTTTTGTTTATACATATCCTTTCACGTTGGGTTTCAAACCTGCTATTGACCCTGTTATCCTCGAATTCTGTCATTTTTTCGACGTCTGTTTAGGACAAATTGGCCCTATTGTGTGGAGGGCTGTTGCTTGTTTGAGACACTTAACCAACATGGCTGGTGTGCCTTTTACTTTATCCCATTTAATTCACCTTTACTCTCCCAGACTCTTTCGCCAAGGAGTTTTTACATTAGTAGAAAGAAGAAAAAGAATTCTGGTTAATCCAGAAGACGATAAAGACCGTGGCTGGTATGCCAGGTTTGTTGCTGCCCCCACTGTTGGTTTAGTGGGTGAAGAAAACGTTCCCTTTCCTGAGAAGTGGAATTTTGCACGTGAGTTTTCTTTTTAATAACCTTCACATACCTTTTTCTCAGTTCTGTTGATTGTCGTTTTAATTTCCTTCTCTTCTTTTTTTTAGCAACCATGGGAATTGTCAATGAAATTCCCAATTTTCGTGGTTGGGTAGGAAAGTTGTTAAATGCTGCCCCGATGGAGGGTAGATCTTGGAAAACTCTCTCTCAACAATTTGGTTGGAAAGTGAAAACTCACGGTAAAAGTCTTTTTTATAACTTTTCTTATCGCTTCTTCCAGAATTTATTTTAATCCTTCTTTTTATCAGGATTTGCCATGCGAGGTATTACTGCTGAGGCTGTCGTAGCTTCCCGAATTTCTTTGGAAAGGGCCCAAGAAATAATTTTGGGCTCTTCATCGAAAAGGAAAGCTACTATCGATCAAGACTCTGAGGAGGAGGAAGAACAAGACGGGGGTTCTTTGATAAAAAGGCCACGAGCTAGGAGACGAATTATTTCAGATGATGAAGCATCTCCCCCTCGTTCTACTCCTCACACCGAGCCTGTTGAAGCCTCGTTGGTGATTCCCGATGATGATACCCCCGCTGCCGCCCGTGATTCTGTTGAACAGCTTTTTACCCGCGGGTTTGGTAGTGAAAGTTTGAAATCAATTTCTGATGAAGCGCCCCTTTACTTCTTTTCCTTTATCTGCTCCTACAATACCTTCTTTGTCTTTCGAGGCTGTTCCCGTTGCTGCTTCTCCCCCAGCTATTTTGACTTCTTCTACTGCTCCTCCCCCAGCTGTTTTGACTTCTTCCACAGTTCCTCCCATAACTGTTCAACAAACTGAGGTTGGTTCCTCAAGTAGAAGTGGAGCCATGAGACAGGTTATCATCGAAATCCCTGCCGATGGTAATCTTCTGAGAAAATCAGGAGGAGCCGACGTGTGGTTGAAACCCCTAATTGGTCCAACAGAGAAGGCCAAGCTTGAGAGCCACAGTTCTTTAACTTTGATGAATGACATAATACAATCATCATTAAAGGTATTCCTTTTTAATGATTTACTATTACTTTTTATAAGGTTCTCACCCTTTTTTTTCTTCTTTTCTCTCTTTTTTTTAGATCAACCTCGTTGATACAGAGATGATGAAGAGGGTTTCACACGGAGCAGTTGATGCATGAGTACCAAGTTAAAGCAAAATAACTGGAGAGAGTAATATGAGAGCCTTCAAATTGATATGGAAGCATTAGAAGAGAACAAGTGCACCTTAGAACAGCAGCTGAGAGCTTTAACTTCGGAATTGGCGGTTGAAAGAGCTTCCTCAAATCAAACTAGTAAAGACAAAAATCTCCTCGAAACTTCTTTTTCCGAGCAACTCTCCAAGGCTAGTGAAGAAATCAGAGAGTTGAAGGCTCTCTTAAGTAAAAAAGAAGCTTATGCTGGTGAACTTGTGCAAACTTTGACTCAGACTCAAGAAGACCTCCGGAAATCTTCTGGTAAGGTTCGCTTTTTAGAAAGTTCACATGCTTCTCTTCAAATTTCCTATGATTCTTCCTTGGTTGAGAATGAGAAACTTAAAAGTGAAATTGCTGAGTGGGAAAAGGATTACGAGATTCTCGAGGATAAAACCGCAATTGAAGTGAGTTGGGCATTTTTAAATTCTCGCCATGATACCCTTGTAGAAGTTAGCCAAGAGAATTTCAACTTGGAGGTTGAGTTGGCTAGAATAAAAGAAACCATCGAAAAAACTCAGCAAAGCCAAGACTTTTCTTCTCCCTTGGCTGAAACTTCTGAGAATATAGAAGATGATACAGGTACGGTGAGTGCTCCAATTCCTTCAAGTCAAGTTGAGCCTGCTGCTTCTGACGATCCTGCTTTAGTTCCTTCTTCAACTCCCTAGTGACAAGTTTATGATATGTAACTCTTTTTTTTTCTTTTTGGTGGTATGTGGTTGTAACCCTTGGTTGTTTTTAAGGGTTTGTTGAAAACGTTAAGTCCCCAGACGTTTTATGGGGCGCTTTGTATAAACAACTTTTGGTTTATGACTAAGTTCATACTTAGTCTAAACTTTTTTAATATTACGAAGTTTGTTGTTGAACTTCTGTTTTGTTTATTCTTACCTTTATATTTAAGGACTTACTGAATAACTTGCATTTTTATTTTGCAAAATGCTTTTTTTTTTTTTAACTTCATGAATAATTGAATCAATCATGAATTTTATAAAAGAGGGCCCTTTTATATTCGACACTTAATGAAGAAGACGTCTCAACTTCATAATGGTGCACTGTACGACAAAAGAAATAGGAATTCACATGTTTCCTGAAATAACTTTGACAAGTTTTTATTTGAACTCCGTCAAGCTTTAAATAACATCTTACATGTATTTTTGT